AGCTTTTTTGAGTCATTGAGCTTTCGATGCCTTTTTTTCATTTAAAAGTAAGAGTTTAAAAAAAAGAGCTCTCATAGGCACTGCATTCTGACATGCTCTTTCAAGCAAAAAAAAATTAAATGTATAGTCTGAAGACCACAGAGAGTTTTTAGAGATGAAATAAACTATTTTTTGACCATTGTTGGGCCAATATCTTCCTCAAACGCCAGGGTGCAAGGCTGAAAACTTCATGCTTTTCGAACATTCCTGACCTGAGATCGATTTTTGAGGGGTGGCTATAACATTGTCATTTTAAAGAGATCAAAATGAAGGGTTGCCGAATATTCTACGACCTTTCCTTAAATAATTAAAAATATAACAAAAACTATAAAAAGACGAAATTTATCAAAAAACGCCTTTTTTCGGTTTTTTGTGATACTCTTGACTTCTTACGGGAAAATTGTAGAAAATCCGGCAACCCCGAACGGTGTTAAGAATTTCGTGCTCTTTAAAATAGCATTGTTAAAAAAAATCGCTCTGATTGAGTTTTCTTGAATCTGAAAACTACCGTGCCAGATTTTTAGAAATCTTGCTATAGAATGCATTAGATCGAGCACTCAATTGGCTATTAAAACAACTATCTAGATTTGAGCTAACTGCTTAACATTATGGAAAAGAACCAAAAATATCTTATTGTTAAATTTTTTTCTACCATCTAACTATAAATATTAACACTATTTGGAATTAAATCATATTGAAAAAATGTCGTATTTTTGTTGATAATAACATGAAAAATGATTAGATTCTAATTATGAAAATATCTAATGAAAAAGACAAGTCAAAATTAATTTATAATGGTCATTTTCTAACATTACATTAACTACTAAAAGGACAGAGACAAATAAGAGTCATTTTTGGTCAAAATATTGAACATTATAAATCTATAACTCATATATAAGAGAGTGAGCAATACAAACTTTCCCATAGCAAGACATCTCGAACCGATAACTATGTCAATCAACTGCTCATCAGACTGTCTATCATTAATAAAAATTTCAACTCGAACGGTTGGAGTTGTTGCTCAGTACTGATATAAATATTGTTTCTAACGAACATCACAATCATTTGCTTCTATCATCACTTCTACTTGCTTTTTTCTAAATATTTCAAGAAAAGAAAAAAAACCATGAGCTTTTGATCGATTCTAACAACTCAAAGGAGGAGCTATCAAAATATAGAATTTTAAATTCTTTTAGAAATGAACTTTGTTAGATAATAGAACTTGAATTTCGTTTAGATACCACTTTTTTTCCATTTAAGACTGGTACTTGACAGATATCAATCAGAGAACGTACATTTTACGTCGAAACTAATAACATATTTGAAATCACCATAAAAAACTGAGTCAACTAGTATGTCTTTTAAAGTTTTACGTTGAATTTTTTTTCTCGAAAAATTTAGCTGAAGTACTTTCATGTCCATTGAGTCAGAAAAAAATTCAATTAATACATCTTTTTTTATATTTTAGTTGTCTGCCCCTTTTGTCTTCTAGTAACATTTTACAAGCTCAGATATTCTTTTATATTGTTCAAATGATTTTCTAATTGAATTCACTTTTTCATCGAGCTCTGAAGGGCATCTCTCAGCTAAACTTTTTGAGAAAAAGAAGTTCGATGCAAAACATATCAATCGACTCAAACGTCTGTAGTGATTCTAAATATATTATAGGTTTTGACTCAAAATGTACTTTTTCTGATTGAAATCTGTTATATGCAAGTCTTACATGCAAAAATATGACATTAGAAAAATTGAAATTTTATATATTTTTGTAGTCTTTTCTTCAAATTAGCAGAATCAATCAAAATCTGATGTTGTTTTTTTTTTACTTCTTTCTCCGAAGTATTTAGAAAATAGTAAGTAGAAATGTTAATATCAGTAAACTATATGGTAGATCATATATCTTTCGTAATTGTTTTTAAACGAATCAAATTCTCCGATGACAACAGTATTTGACCTTGTAAATAAAGTTTCATGATGCAACCGAAAGAAATTTTTTAATGAAAAGTGTTGAGGCCTTTCTCAAAAAAAGCTACTTTTCGTCAGAATGACTAAAATTAAGATAAATGCGTAGGACGATAGTCCGTGATCTGATCTTTCATAAATGACAAAAATTTTTACTCGGCATCTCGTTTTTTCCAAAATTTTTTTAAGATTTCTATCATCCTCTATTCGAAAAATAAGCTGTTTTCAGAAAAAACAGAAAATCTTTTTCATTTTTTCTCCGTTTATAGTTTCTTGATCGCCGAATTCAAATTTCTCTGTCAATACTCATTCTATACATTTAAATTTACTTTTTATTTGAAAGAGCACATCAAGACGCAGTGCAATACAGAGTTTCTTTTTTTTAATTAAACTTTGCTTTTACTATATATACATATATTTTGAAGAAGGAAGAAATTGTTCTGTCCACTAATAATAAATTAGTCCTTTCAAAATATGTTCATCAAAGAGACATAATACCAACATTTTATATAATCATTCTATTCATAAAGTGCAGGCTTACTTTAAAGGTGTTTTCGACCTTCATTTTGTTGTTCAAATAATAGGAGATGAGTACCAAAGGGTATCTTCGCTCACGATCATGGTGAGCGTGAGTTGTATACCCCTAAGTTGAGTAGATTTGTACACAAGTATCGGCTTGGCTTTAGCATGATCATTAATTGATACTAATGTTAATCGCACATTCACAGGTTTGTATAGATGCTCATAAGATGTAAAAGTGCTCAAAGGCAATGGAGAGATGTCGATAAAGTGTTAGACGTATGGACTATAATCCGACATAACGAAAGAGAAAGACAAGTATGGTGTTAATTATAGCTGAGTACGCAATGGAAATGATCAGAATTGCAACATATATGATCGTTTATTTATCTTTATCACTTCTATACAAGTGTACCACGTGAGAGAGAGATGTGAAGACTCTTGCGATTCAACTAATAGGGAGATAGTTTTGTTGCTCAGAAGCTTTGATGAACAAGTAGGATAAAGTCAAATATTTCTTTTTCGGCTTAACTACAATGATGCGCCGGTTATCCGACGCGTTTAAGATGTTCGAACAACGAAGAAATGCTGTCTTCTTTGTGAAAGTATACCAAACTTTTACATTTTAAAAAGTTGAAATGATATTTATAAAAGTGAATGTTGTTGACTTTTCATGGATTTAAAAAATATATAATTTTTGTGCTCGGCTTTCATGACGTTGAAAGTCAATAAAGTCATCAAAGTCACCTATTTCTTTCTTGATACAATATCATTTCTTAAATATTTATACAGTTCAGTTTTTACAATTATGTTATATAGTAACATGTACTAAGCGTAAGATTTCTACTTCATTTGTTTATTGATTTAAATCTGACTTATTACCACATCTTAACTTAAGACACATATGTAGTGCACCGCACACTTCCTCTAAACATCAACCATTTCGACTCCCTGCTCGTGAAACTATCATTAAAAAAAATATAGCGAAAGCAAATTAATTAACATAGAAAAGAAATAAAATATTCGATCATAAAATAAAATTTAACCAATCATCAATGTCCCTATGTTCCCATCATCGAAAAAAAAACTACTAATTCATTATCACATAAAAAAAAATACTGAGTGTCTTGTATCTTTGTCATTAAATAAACTAAAAAAAAATTTAAATTTTGAATAAACAAATTCAATTATATCTTTATTAAAAATATCTTTTTTTTATAAAATGAAAAATATCAATTCCAGTCTCACCTGCCACATCTACAAATACTTATGTAAATTGACGCCCATTTTTAGAGGGTTTTTCGAGTCATTGAATTTGTTGTCCCTTTTCTCCGCTTAAAAAGTAAGAATTTAAAAAAAGTTTAAATATATCAAATGAGCCTGGAACGAGAAATTCGGGTTGCCAAGTGAGCTATTTTTGACCCTTATTTGGTCAATATCTCCCTCTAACGTCATGGTATAGGGCTGAAAATTTTACCAGAGCTTATCCACTACAGCTCCAACATATCTTGAAAATTTCATACCATTTGAACGTTCCCGGACTGAGATCAATTTTTGAGACTCCTCAAACAAATTACTCTGAGTCATTTAACGCTTGACTGAATAATGTTCTTTCAAATAAAATAGTATAGCTTAAGTACGTAATTTCTATGAATATTATTTACTGTGAAGAAGAATATTGGAATAAAAATAAATAGTTTTCGATTTTCTTACATATATAATCTTGTATCAAAATTTTGGTTCTATAGAAACTGTCTATCGCTTGATGAAGTACATCATCCGATTGATTTTCAAAATGTTTTAGACATTGATTTATGACTAGTAAGAAATATATTTCACAAAATCATACTCTATTTTCTTTATTTTTTGTATTAATCTTCTTTTTTTTTGGATATTCTTTTATTTCAAACATAGTCTTCACCTTCATACAATGCTGTACTCTGTATATGAATTACATCAATAAGTGTAGTGTTTGTGTAAAGGAAAAACAAAAGTTCTTTATTTTGTTTATTTTTTTAGTTTTGCCCATTTCGAGATGTCTCTCGAATTTATTGGTCATTTTTTTAGCTTATCTATATGCATATAGATGTCTATACTAGATTTTAAAAATATTCAATTTTATCAACAAAAAATTATTTATTGAAGAAATTCGACCAAATTTTTTTTATTAATAAGAAATGTTAAATTTAAGTTTTAAAGAGAAAATTAACGTTATCGTATTGTTTATTTTTTAATACTTCTTGTAGTTAATGTTTTTGTTTTCCTTCTTTCTTTTTTTTTTTATATATTTAAGCTTTCTCTTTCTCTGTGTCTCACAACCTATAGGTGATGAAGTAGAAATGATGCAAAGAAAGTCAATTGACAGTATCAAAAAAAGAAAAAATAGGTCATAAATCTATCACAGAAGAAAAAAAAAAGGAGAACAATATATGACGTTTGAAGAACATTTTAATCAATTCTTATTTTTTCAGATATCATCAATGGATGAATCTGTTTTATATCGTTTAAAAAATTTAAATGATCACAATATAATATTAGTATACAAAAATCAATTCAAGATTGGTCGTGCTACAAGTAAATCAATTAAGTTTTTTGTTTAGATAAAATCAATAATAAAATAGAAAAATGATTTCGTCAAAAGCACATTTTCAATCATTTATGATTTGTTTCTACATTTCTCTCATAACACAGTTGCTAAGTGATATGAATTTAAAATAAAAACCGATTTATAATTTTTTTTCTTTCCTTATCACAATATATGTATACATATTTATAATAGCAAAAATGTAACGAGTTATTTTACAACAAGAACTAGCATTAGATTTTAATACAAAGACTTATGCAAAAAAAAAAAAAACGATTAAAATTAAATGAACATTTATATAAACAGAAATAGACTAAAAAATATTCGTATGCTTAATTTAATTCTATCATGATATTGATTTCCTTTTTGGTATCAATATATGACTTTAGTTATAATGAATAAAAAAAAAAATTGATCTACGAGTTTATACTAAAAATTTTATAAAAATAAAAATTTCAATAAGAAAAACTGAATAAAATAAAAAAAGAAAAGAACCTCGAAGATCAATTTTTTTTGATTTACCTATAAAAACGCACTTTTGTTGAACAAGATCGATTTCGAATTCAAATAATAGTTTCGTTGATTATTTTTTCTTTTTTTTGTTTGCTCCAGCAAATGATTTAGCTATTGCAAATAATCAATTCATATCATCATCTCATTGTATAATTGAATTTGATAATGGACATGTTTATATACGTGATACAAGTTCAAATGGAACATTAATTAATCGATCAAAAAAAATTAATAAAAATCATTCTGTAAATAAATATTTATTTATTATTATATTGAAAAAATAAAAATTATATATTCATATTTAGCCTATTGAACTTCATTCAGGTGATATTGTTCATCTTGTATTTCGTAAAGATGAACCTCAATCAAGTAAGTTTATGGAAAATAATTCATTGTTTGTTTTTTTTTATTTGAGTAAAATAATTTTATTTAATAAAATAATTGATAAATGAGACGATAGTTGAAATCGTATGATTTTGTTTAGATGTTATTTTTCAATTGGATTTACCACTTGTAACCAAATCAACGAATCAAACTGAACAAAATTTGAAAAGAAAACGTTCTGGTAAGAATATTTCGACTGTCATTATGTACAGTCCTAGACAAAAATGCTCCCTCCTCTTTTCATCAAGTTCTACTATTCTTTATGATATTGAGCTGATACTTGGGGTACATATATGCGACAACAAACTCCGACTGCAAGCACTAATTCGTCTTCCATTGATTTGCATGTGTTGGCATCATCTTTCTCTTGTAATCAATGTACTGACATTCAGATCCAGTGTAGTCGATGTGGATTTTTGGTGAACAGTTTACTGATACTGTACGTCTCTAGTTCAATTCCTGGTTTAAAAAGCCACTGTTGTAGCTATTTCCAGTTCAAATATTGTTAGAAATCAAATTGAAATAACTGAGATATTGTCTTTTCATTAAGAGTAAGGATCAAAAAATTGATTTCTATCACTTAAAATCGGTTTTTATCTGTTCGTCACCAATCAATAGGAATCATCAAAAATGCTTAGAAATGATAGAGAATCATTAGAAATCAGAACTTTACTTTTAATCTTATTATTGGAGATTTTCTGTGACTAAAAACTTCTCTTGATTAAGAATATCTCTTGACGAGCAAATATTAGTTTTTAGTAAAATGAATCTTTTTCATGATGATTTTGATCAATTTATTTAAAAATTTTTAGTAGAAAGTTCTCATAAGACGACAAGTTTGTTTTGAAAGTTTTCGAGTCACAGCATTGAATGAAGTCGAGTTAACACTACGACATGGATTTACTATTTCAGAGTGTGACTAATTACTAAGATCTTGTCTGCATGTTACGGACTATGGTGAATAGCAAATGACAAACAAAAACGAGGATGAGTTAGTACTTACGATCAGGATTTATTGTCGCATGCATGCATCCAAAATCTTAGCTCAATATCATAAAGAATAGTAGCATTTCATGAAAGGCAGTTGCTACTTTTATTCAGAACTGTGTTTTGAATTAATTGAATTGATTTAGATACTACATCAATTACATCTACATCACGAAATGGTTCGATTTTTCTGTTTTTTTTTGGATAATTATAAATCAAATAAATTATTTTCGGTTATCTTTTATAGAAACGAAAGAAAATGTTGATTCATCGAATTTAATCAATATAAGTACAGATATTGAAATGAAACGAATTAAAACAAATGATGAATTAATTATAAAAGCTGGTAATGATATGGAAGATATACTTACATGTGTCTGTTGTCAAGATATTATGTCAAATCCAATTTGTCTTGAACCTTGTTTACATGCTTTTTGTTATGATTGTTATACTTCATGGGAAGCTATCCAACGTACTTGGTAAATATTATTTTAAGAAAAGTTTAAAATGTAAAGTTGTAAAATAAATGTACTTACTATTAAGTTGGATAATAAAATAGATGAGTATATGTTGTAATATTGTGCTGATAACATTGTGTGAGAATAAACTTCTGAAGAGAAAAAAAAAAGAACAATCTTATCATTGTAAAGTTTGTTGTCATAGTTAAAAGCGAAAAATGAAAAACGTTTTCTTTACAATGAGAAAATTTCTAAGAATATGAACTTTGTTGGTTCTAAAAAAAATAAAAATGTATCGTGTTTCGATTGGGATCGAGACTGCGAGGAAAACAGTTATTCGGATCAGAATTAAATATTGTAGGTAAATTTTCTATGATTTTTTTAGCGAATTATGCTATGAATCACATAATGGACTCTTTAACCGATATATGTTAATAAGTCTAATGAAAAAAGTAGATAAGTGTAGATAGAACTTGATTTGTTTATAAGATATTTCTTTACTATGGCATCCTCAATAATTACCTTAGATGGATATTGAAGCTATTTTGTTTTAGATCTTATAGTTAAGTTTTTTAGAAATAGATAACACTATATTTAATGGAACCGGAAACCAAAGAAAAAAGTTATTGGTATCGAAGAAAAAGGAAACATAAGAGAAGACTTCGTCAAATACCCCATTTCGATTTCAATGATTTGTTATCTATAGATACTACATATAGTTCATAAAAACCCTTAAAAGGATTTGAAATCTACTATTCAGATTTGACTGAGCTATCGAGTTTTTAATATGTTTATTTCCTAGAGATCCCAGGTTTTCGGGAAAATCTTATTTTCGAATTTTGATCTGAAACTTTGTGCACATAGAGATTTCAACTAGACTAACTTTCATAAAGAAATTTAGAAGTTTTGAACAATATCTCTTCAAAATATAGACCTTTTTCCATGGATAGTGTACATAACGTGTAGTGTTTTAAAGCTTCATATCTCGAAGTGGTTTTGTTGAAAACTTCTGAGTTTTATGAAACATGGTCTAAAAGAAGTGTTGAAGTATATAGGGCAGAAATTTGGACCCACTTACTCTCACGGACCGTGACCGACATTTTAGTTAATTAACTAATATCGGCACCAGAAATCGGTGCACTCGAATGTTTTTTGAATAACTTTCGACAGAAACAAGTTAGAGACCTGCAGTGCTCAGCAATCTATAGAAGATTATAGGGGACACATTTTTATATAAAAACAAAGGTTTAAATAATCAGACATGACAGGAGTGATTGTGAAATCACGGAAAGAATAGGCTCATTATTTGGTGAAATCTCAGTAGAACAAGCTGGAACTTTCAGCATATATAGTCCCACTATAGCCCAATCTTCTCTAAAAATATCATTGATAAATCTTGTCATGACAAGGAATGGTATGCCACTCATCATCTAGTCGTACATAAAGCTCTCATTCAGTCAATATGTTATAAAATGACCTCAACATTTGACTGAATAAATATCATAATCTAGAATTTCATATCTATGCACTAACATCGTCCTTTGGTCGTAGAAATGAAGGGAAACAGCCAAAATTTGACGAACAAATGATTTTCATACAGTAAGTATTTTAAAACAAATCTTTCCAACGTTTTCACGAGAAATGCAGAGTTTAGTAATATTTTCGCTGTCTCTTCTCATTCATATAAACGAACTATGATATAATTGCATAGATATGAAGTCTAGATTATGATATTTATTCAGGCAAAATTTGAGATCATTTTATAATACATTGAGTGAATGAGTGTCTTGTGTAAGACCGGTACAATGATTGGCATACCATTCCTCATCATTACAAGATTTATCAATGATATTTTCAGGAAAGGTTGAGGCACAGTGAGGCTATATATGCTGAAAATTCCAGCTTGTTCTGCTGAGATTTCATCAAATAACGAACCTATTCTTTCAGTGATTCCACAATCACTTCTGTTGTGTCTGATTATTTAAATCTTGATTTTTATATAAAAATGTGTTCCCTATAATCTTCTATAGATTGCTGAAAACTGCAGGCCTCTAACTTGTTCATATCGAAAGTTATTCAAAAAACATTCGAGTGCGCTGACTTCTGACGCCGATATTAGTTAATATTTAATTAATACCTAATTGATTAACGAGATAACTTCTAATTAATTAACGTATAGTAAATAATTAATTAAATAATTGATGACTAATTGGTGACAGATTATTGACTCATTGATGAATAATTAATTAGTAATTAATGGACACCATCACGAACCATGACAGACAATCTGGAAATCTGCCACCGACTGCGCAAGACATTGTTGATATACGATCAAAGACTGAACATCAATAGCCTGCTATCATAAGATATGAAATACTTGCTGATTCTAATTCTGAAGGAATAAGTAAAAGGATGGTTTCGAAAGGTGTCGCAAAACCGATAGATTAAAACAATCTCCCTATAAATACCAAACTAGTGTATCTTCGGACAGACGGCCGATCTGACCAGTGATTGAACCGGTACAAGTACAAATTCATATTTAGCTTTGATTAATATTTCCATTATTAATATCTACTATTTTCGTAGTACAATGACATCTGTATGTTGGAGTCTCTTTTATTGTTCGTCATTCAATAGTGTAACAAAATTTGTACAGAACTATCTTATAAAGAACTAAACAAAGATCAAGATCTGATAAAAAAAAAAACAGAATTCTTGCACTCAATTGTTTGAGCTTTCTATACACATTAGCTAACCACATGCTAGCCACAAGAACAGATCGTATTATAATTAATATAATTCTTATTGAATTGTTGACTGTTATTCTTTTTTTTGTTTTAGTCCAAAATGTCGTGTAAAAGTCATTGATAAAAAAAAGAATGTGGTTATTAATGGTATATTGGAAGCTTTTCTCAAAGCATATCCACATAAACGACCGGTATTAAAAGCTATTGATAATACAAAATGTAAAATGAACACGGCAACTAATGCAAAAATTGAAGTTTGTCTTTAAACAAAAAAATAAATGATTTTATTAGAGATTAAAATCTTCTTCAGGGCGATCGCAATGCAATCTATTTTAATAATAATCAATATAATGATGAAGTATTTAAAAAATAAATTTTTTTTTTTTTTTTGAGGATATTAATTTATATTTTTCTTTCAAGATGGATAATGATCCTATTGATAATGATGATGATGAAGATGATGATGATGATAATACGTAAGTTTTTGATTTCTAAAAATATTTATTTAATGATATTTGAATAAAAGTGTCCTTGTAATGGCAGCTCCTGTTTCTAATGTTCGATTTATATGTCGTCAATGTCCAACACGTGGCTTCAGTATATTTATTTGTCTTTGATTCAAAAATCAAATTGAATAATATTTATTCTCTAGATCGTACTAAGAATATAAATCTTGTTTCGACTGAATTTCAATGTCGTCCTAATCAAAATCATATTCTTTGTCAATGTTGTGTACAACCAATGCCTGATAGACAAGATGAACCAAATATTCATCAAAGTTGTAAGTATGTAGATATTTTGTTTTCTTTTTTTTTATACTTATTTGTTATTGTTTAGGTGAAATATGTCATCAATACTTTTGCAATATGTATTCTCAACAATGTCAACGACAAGATTGTCTTGGTTGTTTAAATCAGTTGCAAAGTATTCATGCTTTTTGTGTTATTTTCTATTTTTAATTTACCCAGAAAATTTTTTCTTTTAATTCAAGATTTTAATTTTGCTCCTCGTCATCTTACTAATCTTGTTAATGATAATCCTATTGAATCACAAATTGTTCAAGTAAGTCTAGAACAAAAAAAACATCATCTTACAAATAAAACAAAAAAAGTGTCTAAGTAAACTATTGTTGATTTAGTAAATTTTGTTTTCTACGAATATAACAAAAGAAAAAAAAAACTCTATGCTATTTCTTTTTTCAAAGTTTTTTTCATATAAAAGAATATTCTCTTAATGAAAAATTAAAAATCTTCCTTTCAAATAGTTTTCTTTGTTCATAATAGACACTGCTGATATAAATGAAATTTAATATGAATCGTTCTTTCCTCCCCTTACTATTTATAATTTTCTCTTTTTCATTCTAGTTGATAATAATGTTTTTCTTCACTTGGAAGAAAATGTATTTCCATTATGCATACATAAGCTATCACTTTCTCTTCTATTCTTTTGTAACTTTTATTCTCCAATAAACATGATTCAGTAATATTTTAACTGAAAAAAGTTAAACAGATCTAAACTATGGTCTTTATTTTTTTACAAAATCAGGATTTTCTCATATCTCGAAGGAAGTGATTAATCCGTTGAAATACTTAATGTTCATTAATGTTTACTGGCTTTAATAGGTTATGAATGTTTGAGATGTGCAAGTTAAGCTTTTTGTCGTACTCTGTACCTTGACTGGCGAAGATTTTCTAATCCTTACCCTATCCTACCGTAAAGGATACACTCTAAAAAATTTTAGTTTTTTACGAAACCGAAAAAGATCATACACGCAGATACAAACTTGAAACTTCTTTGGTTCCGTAATTACTAAAAGTGTAGAACCTTCTTCACTCTACAAATCTTTCAGAAGATTTTGTGCCTTTCGTACCGAACCTTTTTATGTTCCGTAATAGAAATTATTTTTTCGAGTGTAGAATAGAGTAATTCTGCATATCTCTAATGAATATCGCCTTGCTCAAAAGTAACAATTTTCATTCTTATAATATTCGATACAACAAATAAATATTTAATCAATCATTTCGTATATATATATTTAGAGTTATCTTATAAATCATCATGCAACAATGCGTGAATTACTTGTCGAATGTTGTCGACGTCTTGATCGAAGAGAATTTACTTATATTGGCATTGATCGAAATCTTGCTGGTTTGTTATTATTTAATTTTTATTGTTTTTCCTTTTAATATGATTGATTTGTTTTGTATAGTTTCATCAACCAAAATTGTTTGTTATAAATGTGGTTTAAAGATATTTAAAGAACTAGTTTATCAATTTCGTGTATCTATGAAACAAAATGATATATTACCAATAGCATTGCGTAATCGTGAAAATTGTTATTATGGTAAACAATGTCGTACACAATATACGAAACCAGCTCATGCACAAAAATATAATCATGCTTGTGAACAAATTAAATTTTAATCTCGATGTTGTTGTTTTATTTTTTGTTTATATTATATAAGAAAAAAGAAATAGTAATTGTTATATGTTATTCACTTTCTTTTTTTGTTTTTTATTTGTTAGAAAAATGAAATAGAATTGATTTGATGAAAGAAATTTCTTTGCTTTTATTTTTATTACAGATGTCGATTTTAACTTCTGATTTACAAGTACCAGTATTCTATCCGACATATGATGAATTTGAAAATTTTTCATCATATGTATCAAAAATCGAATCACAAGGTGCACATAAAATTGGCTTAGCAAAAATTGTACCACCAAAACAATGGATATCACGAAAAATGGGCTATAAACAAAAAGAAATTGATGATACAATGGTACAGAATCCAATAAAACAAGAAGTACATGGAAAAGATGGTTTCTATTTAGTATATAATATTCAACAAAAATCAATTAAATTAAGTCAATTTCAAAAATTAGCATCAACTAATCGATATGCAACACCATCATCAATTTCAAATGATATTGAAAAATTAGAAAAAAAATATTGGGATAATTTAACATCAATAGCACCAATTTATGGAGCTGGTAGGTTATTTATAAATTGGAATGAAAATAAATTGTTTGATGTTTTTCATCTGATGTCTCCCCCAGAAATGAAACCGATCTAGATTTTTCATGACCGATACCGGTCTACTTATTATCGACCGGTCTAAAATTCATACCGATACTAAACTGACGAATTGTCATACTATTCCATTTATGCAAAATGATATTTGACATAGTTAGCTTTTAACAAAGTTGCACTATACATCCTCTATGAGATCATTAACAAGGAAATGACTCTGGACAAGTCACTAACGGCTATTTGTCTCGGATCATTCGTCCGATAGTATGCTGATTACGTTGTGACATACATCCACTCATGGAGCTAGTATATAGTTGGCTAGTGTGTATGAGAAGCTCAAACAATTGAGCGTAAGAATTGTGCGTTAGACTGGTATTCTGTTCCGAGTTACTCCTATTATTAGTTGTAGAGAAGATGTCGGACTATTGAATTTGTGGCTAGGCAGCAATGGGTACTACAAGGTAGCTGAAAAGTAGGGGTATCTTTCTTTCCTTCCTATGACATACTTAGGGCAAAAAAATTAAATAAGACACACCGATAACGACCGGTCTGCCGATAACTGGTACTGGTTTCATATCTGTCTCTTCGCAACTGATTTCTGATTGAATTAGTACAAATTAGGTGTTTTCGGATTCAGCTCATGTTGAAAAAAACTGATTCTATATTTGATCCATCTCTGATTCCGCCATTTTATTCGAACTAATTAAGATAAGAAAAATGACTGAAAATCGATATAGATCCAATGCGAAAACAATTAAAATGGAACAATCTATCTCAATTATCAATCAGAAACGAGTTGGAAGTAGACCTTTTATATTGATATGATTATTTCATTCACGTATGTTTCTTTAACCAATTAACGCAACACAATAGAATGATCTGAAGAAAAGATAGATAAATCAGAAAGAATTTCCCAAGTATCACACTTTTATTTTCAAGGTTTAGAATTAGACGAGTAAAGTCTTTTCTCTACGTTACAACTAAAGAATCATGAGGAAGATATCCAATTGTCGGGTACCCTTCGACTTCATATTATAGCTACGAGTAAGTCTTGATGGAAATAAGAAAAGCTTAAAAAGATTCAAGTCTATGGCTGTTTTAATGAAATTTTTACTGACAGATGAGACATTTTCGAAAAATTCAAAGCAAAGACTATTGACTTGAAATTTTGCCTGCAAGTACATTTGATAGTCATGAGATAGTCCTGGAAGTTTCAATGAAAACAAACTTGTCTTTCTCGAGATATTCAATTTCCAAGTAGGATCAGTTATTGTGTTTTCCTATAGTATACCGTTGTTTTCTTTTGAAAATTGAATATCTCGAGAAAGACAAATTCGTTTTTGTTGCAATTTTCAGAATTATCTAATGACTATCAAATGTTCCTATAGACAAAAATTTCAGGTCAAAACTCTTTGTTTTTTGAGTTTCTCGGAGATATCTTGCTCTTAGTAAAAACTTCATTAAAACAGCTATAATTCAATAGGGCATGGGTCCGAATCCTTTTAAACTTTTCTTAGTATTACTACTGACACCTATTCAAAGCTATAATATAAAGTCGAATGGCGTCCAACAGTTGAATATGTTTCTTCGTTAAAACCATTTTATCTTCACAATAAACGATTATAAGGCAATTTCCAATGATTAGTGTTTTTGTAACGAATGAAACATTGCTTTTTATAAACTGAAGTCTTTCAATGAATATTTTCTAACACTGTAGTAGAAAGATGAAATGAATCTAGCTCTTAAATTCCACCATATTAAAAAAAATTTTGCATGTTATTATGATCCCTTCATACAACTTGATACATTGAAAAATGAAAATTATATTAATGTATCTTCACAAATAAGTCTACTACTAAAAAAAGTTTGTTGTATGAAAAGAAAACAATATGTAGTTTATTTTGAATATATATTCTATCTGACTTCTTTAGATGTTAGCGGTTCATTTTATGATAAAAGTCAAAAAGTATGGAATGTAAGTAATTTGGGTACTATACTTGATGATCTTCAAACTGAATATGGAACTAAAATTGAAGGTGTTAATACAGCTTATTTATATTTTGGTATGTGGAAAGCAACATTTGCTTGGCATACTGAAGATATGGATTTATATTCAATAAATTATTTACATTTTGGAGCACCAAAACAATGGTAAAGAAAAGAAATATATTTAAAAAGACTTTTATTTTTTCTTTCTTAATAACTAAAATATAAAATATTATTTAGAATATTCTTTTTTTTTAAAAGAAAATCTAATCAGGGTGAGATTTAAAAATACATTATTTGAATTTCTATTTGTTTTTTTCTTTTTGCAAATCTATATCAATCTTTTATTTTTCTATATTTAATTTAAACATTTGAAAAATAAAAGAAGAATTATATCTTTGAATTATTTTTTTTCTTCTAGGTATGTTATTCCACCATCATATGGTAAAATATTTGAAGAATTTGCTGCTTCACATTTTCCATCATTAGCACGTCGTTGTCCAGCATTTCTTCGTCATAAAATGACAATTATATCTCCATCTATATTAGCAAAACATTCGATACCATTTAGTAAAATGACTCAATATGAAAATGAATTTATTATAACATTTCCATATGCTTATCATGCTGGATTTAATTATGGTTTTAATTGTGCTGAATCAACAAATTTTGCATTAGAACGTTGGATTGAATATGGTAAACATAGTGTTCAATGTGCTTGTCGTCATGATACGGTTAAAATTGGTATGGATCTTTTTGTACTTAAATATCAACCAGAACTTTATAATGATTGGTGTCGTGGAATAAATGTAACATCACATCCAGAAGATACGCAAATGGTAGCAAATAATAGAACTATTATTAGAAGTTCACCGACAAAAAAACAATTATCTATAAATAATAAATCATCAAAAAGTAAGAAGAATAAGAGAAAAGAAATTTTTTAAATAATTGCTTGTATTAACTCATTTAGTAATTGTGAAAAACTTAAGGATTATATTCTGATTTGCGGACGCTCATTTTGGCTAATTAAGGAATGATATCTGAAAAATAGAATCCAGAAGAAAGAGAGACAAAAATGGTTGCATTGTAGGATCAAGACAAGATATATTATGTGGAAGAAGTTATTCATGAAACATAACTAAATATCTAATGTTGATTAGGTTCATAACCAAGATCGCCATTGTTATTTATATCGAATACGTGGATATATCGATAACAAATAGAACACAATCTCTTTTGATAACTATTAAGATTTAAGAGACCATGTAAATATTCTTGCTTCATTTAAGTCAAAATGTTTTTCATTTGCCACTGATGTAGCTCTTCTGTGACGTGTTTGTTCCTGTTCAATTCGAACCATTGTTGACTCTTCTGACTTCTGGATATATCTTATCCAGACCCAAAGATTTGAATGTGTTTGAGACAATGAGAATTTAATTGACTATGGCATCCTTCTACATAGTTGTTAGTTTTTGTTCGAATTCCAATGAGAGCAAATCAATTCGAAAATGACGGAAGAAATAAAGCATCTTCAATATATGTACGAAGAATATAATCTGTTTATTTAAGAGAAATTTTAGTTTACACATACTAATTTCTTCAATAATCAATCTATATATATAATGTTCAGTGTGTGTGCGTGTGTGTGTTTCTCTGTGCCGAGTCAAAGGTTAAAGGTCAAATAAGGCTATAAATGGAAGATATTAAGGGCTACTGTATAGGGACTCATAGATCTCTAAGGGCTATCCTATGAAAGTACTCATAGGTCCTCAAGCACTATCCTATGAGGATACTCATAGGCGCTCAAGAGCCGTTCTATAGAGTACTCAAAGGTCCTCAAGGACTATCCTATGGGGGAACTCATATGTTCTCAAGGGCTGTTCTATGGGATACCCATTCATAAGCCTTGAAGGAAGTAAGGCAATAAGAGGATAAAGCTACAAGAACTGCAAAGGATATAAGACTATAATGGCGAAGACTACGTGTACTATAAAAATATGTGCGATATAACAGTATGAGGCCGTAGGGCTATCTATCTATATACATAATATCGAGTATCTGTATGTCTGATACCGGATGAAAAATTAAACGTCTGAGGTCATATGTTAAAGGAGAAAATAGCCATGCAGTATGCACGAGCTCACCCTAGTATTACATAATGGTGAATTAACTCCTCTTAAATCGAGCTATCTACATTAGGAAACTATAGGTCCTTCCAGACCGGAGCATGAATCAGGGTTCGGACCCACATTTTCGTGGACTGACAGTTCTCTATATCAATTGCAAAGAATGTATTCTTGCTTGATCTTGTTTTCATAAATAGAACTAAAACTATTCCATACGGTCGAAGATTTTCGTGTTGTTGTTGGTTTGACGATTTTCAATAATGAATTTTATCTATAAATTAACCGTTCAATTTTCTTTTTATTTATTAGAATAGTTCTCATTTCAACTAGGGGAAAACTTTTAATTTATTAAGCATCAAATATTTGGGAAAATGAATAACAAGAAATAACTGTATATTGACTTTTTTCTGAGAATAGCCAATAAATAGCTAAAACTTTGATTCTTCACTTGTTCATGAACAAAGAGGATGCCAGATTTTGGTAGAAACAAGCTTAGATCTGGATCTGAGAGGGGTCCGAGTTTGAGCCTGTTGAATTCGAACAGGATTCTCGTTCAAAGTTTTATTTTTTGTAGGATCTGGACCTACCAAAACGTGGATTTGCAGCTTCCTAATCTACACTGATTATCTTACTATTTCTATTTTCGTTTGTTTTCATAATGCAAACATTTTTTTTCTTCATCTCTCCTTCTCACAACTCTATTTTGCGGATATTTTTTTCCTCCAATTAAGGAAAAACGTCTGCAATGAAGAAGACTTAGTTTTGATGATTCGAACGACTCAACATAACATTAATTATATTGAAATCTCCAATAAATCCTTTAAACAATTTGTCCACAGTTAGGTGAATTCATTGGAAAATACTGCCGAGTTTTCAGCAGAAACATCCTTCACATTTTATTTCATAATTATATTGTAAACATAATATTTCATTTTGATTATATTTCATTCATGTTTTAGTAATTACTTCCTTTAATCAAAATATATTAGAATTAGTTCAGTGAACAACAGTTAAATTTGTGCGAGTGAGTTAAGAGATAATCAAGAAAATAACGAAGAATGTTTACTAATCATACGCATTTATAAAATCTTTTTCTTCATAAACTAACTCGTCGAGCATGTCATATGTATTGTAAACGACTGTATCTTTTTCTATGGATTCTGTAACACTCTATTGAATATTGTAATCAAATTGATATTTTAATAAAAAAAAATTCTCAAATGTTCTTAGAAATCTTAGTACTCAAACTCATTGTAGTCAAAATTCTCATGAATATGATATATAAATCTCATTAAGCATCTACCCATGATCACATGACTTATTTATTTGTCATTACTCTAGTCACTATGTAGATAGGCTTTTAATAGAGAATGTCGCTTATCACGGACAACTTCTTTTTCTCTAAGGAGAGAACCATTCCAACTGATGTCCACCGTTTGAGTTTATACCGCATCCACAAGAACTTCTGGTGCAGACTAGCATAAATCTCAAAGAGTACGTCCCTGTAAGTCTTCGCGGACTGAGTTATAATCATTTTACTTGAATGTTTGGCCCTGTTTTAAGTATTTAATGGAAATTTTAAAAAAATTAAATTTCAACGTAAAATTTCGCCCATAAATAGATCAAATAATTCGTAAAATATCCTAAAAGTTTCAGCCGAAAAGAATGTTTCTTTATCGAAATACTGAAATTTCAAAAGCCCATACTTGCTTGCCACAGTCACATCATAAAAATAGGATTTACTTGAAAATTCAATATTTTGATAAAGGAACATTTCTTTTTGGCTAAAACTTTCAGAATATTCTATAGATGATTAGATCTTATCTATGGGCAAAATTTTATATTGAAATTTCATTTTATGGTACATACCTAAAAACGAATCGAAAATTTAGTAACAAGATCATAATTTGACCTGAAAAAACTTATGAGACGAACAGTTTTAGGCTTTTTCTAGTCTCAATGAGAAATTTTTGTAGGTGCAATACGAACTCAAACGACAAATATTATTCGAATTGGTTTCCTTGTAAGCAACCGAAAGCTTATCATTATATGACAATACATAGTGTATGTTTTGACAATAATAAGCAACTTAATAACTAAAATGACATTGAATGACTTCAAAGATACCCAATCATTTAATTTATTTTGCTATTAAAAACTAAATTCATTGCTACATTGCTTTCTTTTTTAAGCTTCTACTGACACATCATTAACTTCAAAACCATTTCAATATTATTATCATGAACAAATATCTGATGAACGATATGCATGTATATTTCGTAACTTAGCTAAATTTGATAAACTAAAACAATTATCAAAATTGGAATATCCTAATTCACTTATACGAGCTGCACTTTGTCGAGCTCAATTTAAATTAAATAAAAATAAAAATAAAAATTCTACAAAATTGTTATGTTTAACAGCTAATTTAGTATTGAATTCATCTTTATTATCAAATCCAATATTTTTCAATGGTTTAAAACAATCGAATAAATATCGTGAAAATATTCTTAATGGTCTTTGGAATTATCAAATAATAGATAAAAATTCAGAAAAAATATTTAATCAATGGTTATCAAATCAAATATCAAATTGTGCGATATGTTATCTTTTTACTGCTAATAAGTATGAAAATAAATCATTATTAATAATTAGAAATTTATTAATGTTAGATGATTTAAATAATAAATTGAATATTTCGAATGATTTACTTAAATGTACAAAATGTTATGTTAGTGTACATCGAGAATGTTATGAAATTATATGTTTAGCATTAAATGCAAAAATTACTGATGATTATGATCATTGGTATTGTCAACGATGTACTTTACAAAGAGAAGTAATTAAAAAAATACATATATAAATATATAAATGCTTTTAGTTGTTTATTTTAATTTTGAGTAAGATTAAATTAATCGCGACATACGAAACAGTAAAAGAAAAACGTTTCGTTTGTTAACATTTTGCAGTAGATATCTAATTATTTCGAATTATTTAACAAAGTTTTATTTCTAATCTAGCAAGGAAACTACTCGAATTTGATACCCGTCGCTTGAGCTCATATTGAGTTCACAAGAAGGTCTTGGTAAGAGTGAAAAAATTCTAACAGAATTCGTGCCTATGACCCTCTCTAGCCGAGTTATGACCATTTTACTGAATTTTCGATATAACTTTAAGTATTTACCAAAAAATCAAATGATGAAAATCTCCACGTGAAATTTTATCTATGGATAGGTCTGATGACACTGAAACTTTCAGGATATTCTCAGAGTCATTAGGCCTATCTATGGACGAACTTTCATTATTTGATTTTTTAGGTAAATACCTAAAGCTTGATCGAAAATTCACTAAAATGATCATAACTTGACTCCTGAGATCCATAGGCAAAAATCCTGTTAGAATTTTTCTAATCTTACCGAGACCTCCTTGTTGATTCGATATAAGTTCAAACGGCTGGTATTAGTTCGAGTAGCTCTCTCATTAGAAGCAGGCTTATCAAATGCAAATGTCAGAAATCAGTTAATTTACCATATCAAATCAGGAGACAAATCAAAACATTTACAGAAGTACGTGACAATTTTATCTTGAATAACAATGAAATCTTCGTTTTGATAAGCGCTTTTTTTCTTTGCCGTATTAACTTGATAGCAGAAATATTTCTCTTAGAAATCGTATTAAACAAAAGAAGATAAGTATTAAAGTTTATATTGG